AGTAAAGGTTGGCGCTGGCTTAAGGAGCGTAGTTGGTGTATGACACATGGATAGAGAGCGGCCTGGTGGAACCATTCGACTGATAACCAGACCAACTGGGGCGGAAACGACCAGTAAACTTCGAGACGGCTTGATGGCTATGAGTGAGAAGGCCACGACCCGCGGCGGCACGAACGGTCATTAATTCATGCCGCAATGCTGGCTGTGGCTAACCGGTTTTTGTGACAGCAGCTATCTGGCAGCCGGCTTTGTGACGAAGGCTTAGTTTCGTGGATTGTACGAACTTACGCACCCGGATTTGCGTCACACGAACTTTTAGGCTAAAAGCGACTGGTCAAACCAGCAAGTTCTATGAATCAATACATTGGGAATCGCGAGATCAATCAAAATTGGTGGTCTCCGTTAGTTTGCCTATACAACGCAGATGAAGTGATAGGGACCGTATTTGTGTCTGCCTCATGTACCTGGGCTCGCCTAGGCAGTAATGACTAGTGCCACCTCATTGATTTTATGGCTTCTACTTTTCAACATTCTTTCTTCTTTTGGTTACTGAGTAGAGCATGTGCCCCTATAATTACCTGATGAACCCATGAACAAAATATATTTACGAAGCTCTTCGTAAATTCCCCCAAATTTGCCGATTCCCTGGGAATTTCTCAACGCTTTGCCAGTAACTGTAATTGGCAGTACGTAATTTATTTTAATGTTACGTAGTAATTACGCTTCGGCTAAACGAGAAATTGCTTTCCAGAAAACGGCGTCAATCACGACTGATATCTCGCACACCGGCTACATATTACGCAATCTTGCTCGCCTGTGAAAGTCTGGTGAATGTACGTTAGCACGAAAAAGCCGCTCAGAACTCAGACTATGGTCAGAGAGGCTAGATGCGAATGTGAAGTATTTATGCGCGAATAGAAAAACGAAAAACTTCTAGTATGGCATTTTTAAGACTTCTATTGACTTCTATATGAAAGACTTCTATTAAGGCTTCAATTATGGCATCGATTTCGCGCAAGTGCGAATCTCTAGTTGTGGCTGAAAGGTAAAGGAATGGATTCATGCATACCAGATCCACGATTTACATCAGTGCGGATGCGTTTAACGGAAACACGGCAGGCTAGCCGGTCTGACTAGTCGTCCCCTGCGGTGAGTAGACTGATCGGCAGCTAGCCGGAAACTGGCCTTCGGCCCGGAAAGATCAGCTGTTGATCCCAAAATATCCTAATGACAGCTGAGAATGTAGCTATGTAGAGGGCACTTGCTGACTGGGTCATGCACCATGTGGCGATCATGCATTGAACGGACATTGCTGAGAGCAATTTTATGTTGACATTTGAAAGACTGTTATGACGCTGCCCCAAACTGCTTCCCAAGCGTCAACTGCTGCAAAATTCTTCCGTATGCGCTGGGATAAATGTTGAGCTTTACAATGACCCTGACGGCAAATACTTTACATCAACAGCGCCCTGCCAAACTCCGCGTAAGCGTGCTTATAACTTCTATAAGTTATCCCTCAAACACTGTCACAGTCCTATGCATGCCGAACTGGGACGATGCTGCCCATTCTAATTACGGCCCTGTGCGTCACGGCATATGGTTGCGTACCCCAATAAACTTGTAGCTGCGCGTACCGGCACGCACGCTTCAAGTCAGGGCCACTCGGCTATTCCGCTTCGTCATCGCATCACCCGATCCAGTCTAATTACGGCTGCGGGCAGCGTCTTCTACTTCCTCCACCGCACTGTCGAGCTGGAAGGGCTGAAGCTTCCGACGCGCAGCAAGCTGGCATCGTTGTCGGAGCCGATGGGACGGCGGCGCGTCGGCGAGCGGCCGTTGACCTGGTGCGACACTCGTGGGGAGGCCGGCGGCGGCGCGGAAAACCGGTCCTTTACGACCTCCAAGACGCCACGAAACCGGGTTACTGGAGACACCGCGGGGCTGTGCTGGCGCCGACGCCGGCGCTAGACACCGCTCACGCTGGTCCACGGCTGGTGGTGAGGTTCCGCTCACAGTGGCCCGCTACTTGTGGCGACGCTGTGCCGACATCAGCCTTCTGTTGGTGGCGAGGTTTTGCTCGCAATGGTTCGCCGCTGGTCGTGCAGTCCTGCTCAAAATGGTCCACTGCTAGTGGCGGGGTTTCGCTCACGATGGTCCACTGTTGGTGGCGAGGCTCTGCCGATGTTGGTCTACTGTTGGTGGTGAGGCTCTACCGATGTCGATCCACTGTTGGTGGTCAGGCTCCGCCGATGTTGGTCCACTGTTGGTGGTGCGGCTCTTCCGATGTTGGTCTTCTGTTGGTGGTGAGGCTCTACCGATGTCGATCCACTTTTGGTGGTCAGGCTCTGCCGATGTCGGTCCAATGTTGGCGGTGATGCTCCGCCGATGTTGGTCCACTGTTGGTGGTGCGGCTCTTCCGATGTTGGTCTACTGTTGGTGGTGAGGATCTACCGATGTCGATCCACTGTTGGTGGTCAGGCTCCGCCGATGTTGGTCCACTGTTGGTGGTGAGGCTCTGCCGATGTCGGTCCAATGTTGGCGGTGATGCTCCGCCGATGTTGGTCCACTGTTGGCGGTGATGCTCCGCCGATGTTGGTCCACTGTTGGTGGTGAGGCTCTGCCGATGTCGGTCCAATGTTGGCGGTGATGCTCCGCCGATGTTGGTCCACTGTTGGTGGTGAGGCTCCGCCGATGTTGGTCCACTGTTGGCGGTGATGCTCCGCCGATGTTGGTCCACTGTTGGTGGTGATGCTCCGCCGATGTTGGTCCACTGTTGGTGGTGAGGCTCCGCCCACAGTGGGCCGCTACTGGTGGTATTGCTGTGACGGCCTTGGTTCACCATCCAGAGGAAGGATACGTTGGAATCATTGCTTATTTGCACGTAGCCGGCTGCTTGTAGCGAAGAACCACCCACAAATGAGTTGTCTTTAATGGTATCTGGTTACTATTATCAAACAATTCCATGCAGGGTATCAGTACTTTCTGTCGCGTATAACTGGACGGCATAGACGATGACCTATGTTGTGGGCGCTGTGCACTACGAGTTCAAATTTCTCATGTTCAGGATACGATCTTCAATATACCAGAAGGACATTAAGGGGCTAAACAACGCTCCTATTGACGGTGCTCAGTATGTCGAGATGTCCTCATGCTTAAGAGTGACAAGGGTTCTCTGACCGTTTGAGTACTGTCAATATGATTGTTGTTTAGCACTACCGAAAAACCCTTGTCGCCATTGAGGATAAGCATAGCTCGAAACATTGAGTAGCGTCATTATAATCCTTGTTCACTACAACGGTACAGTGACGGTCGTTAACTCAACGAAAGAACTCTTAATGCATAATGTCGAAAAATCATGCGCCGAAGGCCTGCATTTCTTATATCAAGGGCACTATGCACCAACAGCTGTTGTGTTGATATCTAGACTGAAGCTGATTCGAAAAATGCTGGTGCGACCTGCAACCGTGGCGCTTGCAACCTGCGACTTGTGCGACCTGCAACCCGTGCAACCAAGCTTCGGCAGCTCGGGACCGGCCCGGGCACGGAGAGAGCCGGCCCTCCTGTCTGCCGCGAGACGCGTGTGCGCCCACGACGATCGTAGTGGCCTTTATCAGCTGGGTGTCTTCACCAGCCACGGAGTGTAAGTGGTGAACAGCGCCCTCCCTTATTTGCACGTGAGTGAGAAGCACGCCACATAAAATGTCCGGCTCGCCAGCGTTTCCGAGGATTCAAACATCAATGAAGCATCGTCAGTGTTTTCGAGCTCTCCATCAAGTGACTGTTTCAACTTGGGATGCGTAATTGCATCTCAACAAAAAGAGGGAGTACAGGAATCTGGAAATTGGCTTTTCGCCTCTGCGACGAGATGATCCACCAGGATGTCCCGAGCGATCGGCGTTTTGTTCAGCCCACTCCAGCGCTGGTAATTTTGATGGGGAAACTGATGTAGAATAATAAGGTTTGATTCAAGAATGCCAACGGTGGTGAATTGGGAGCTGATCCAAAGGCTGTATTCATGTATGGTGAATGGCATCTCCCACATCCAAATCAGCTGGAACTTAGATTTGATGCACGCGTGTGCCGTGCCACCATAGCTCTAATATATTATGCTTTTTGAAGTATGCCCCAAATGTAGAACACTGCATTTAAAGAAAATATTGTCGGTCCAGCAACAAGTGGGTAAGACATTCATTTCACCGCTGACTCCTGCCTTGTAGGAGAGCAATGTTGGGTAATACTTCGATCGGTAGTGTTTTTGGAGACAGGGCAGCCGATTTAGAGCATGAAAAATAGCTTATTTTTTCCTTGAAGCTGGGCACAAGGGTCATGTCAAAAAAAAATTTGCTAAGCTGTAAGTAGGGACTGGCTTATCACACACAGATGAGTCTAGTGTTAAGCTCAACACTGTAAGACCATTTGCCACCTCCAAACGACAGTAATACAACTTGTCAGGCAGACCTATCGCAGGCTATTGCACACCTTTACGCAAAGACCCGGCTTACGGGTTTTTCATCACAAATTCACTTTGATTCCGGTTGCTGAAGGACGTTTCACAACCAGTGTACGAAAAGGACGCCGAATATACTATTGCTTGCTGAGTTGGCTGCTTAAATTGCATATCAGATCTGGGGCATTTCGAGTAACGAGGTTAGATAAACGTTGGGCAGCAGCATTTATAATGTGACGCTCCTGCGAATGGCCTCCATGAAGCTTCTAAAGAAGCGGCCATGGCATTGAAGCCCAAGAGAACGAGTTTGAGTGCATGCAACAAAGGACGTTTCGCGCATCTGTAGACGGCTTACGCGTTCACTGGCTACTGTTACTCAACAGCCAGCATACAAAGTATTCTTGAACCCGGTTGGTTGAGACAAGACGTCCCGCAGTAATCATTCGCAGCGCGCCGAGCGAACGGGTTAGAGCAACGCTGTCCATATCAAGACGTACTGTGCTACAAACCAAAACATCACTGCCACAACACTAACAAAAGCGTAATCACCTACCACATTTGCTGCGACATGTTCCACTTCCGCCGACTAGCAGTCCTTGACCTATGACATGGAGCAGGTGCCGTCGTCTCCACCCCCGCCCGGCCCTCCCCCACCTGCCGCCGCACGCGCACAACTGTCGCCGGCGCACCGTCCGCCGCAGCCGAGGCAGCCCCACATCCAGGGGTGCGCGACCAAGCGGTGCCTGCCCGTCTGCTAGTGTCGCTCGGCCGTCGCTGGCCGGAGTGCCCTGGAGCAGGTGCAGCCGCCGTTTACATTCTCGTGAGAGCGGCCGAAAACAACTGCCGGATCGTCCATGGCGCCGTCCGTCCGACCGCTCCTCGCTTCCCGGGGCTTTAGGCGTACAACGCGGACGGGTTCGACGAAGCAGCCGGCACGTATGAAAATACCGGCAGCAGACGCCCGCAGTGTGTGTGTATTTACCTTGTCGAAGTAAGAGGGTCGTCGGAATCAACGATCTCGCTTAAGATAAATGAGGGTGAGAACTAAATTGCCATCGAGCCAGGCTTGCACCCTCATATGACTAGACGTAATCGCCGATTCCGTTAGTTTCGACGCTGACGGTTCTTGGCCAAGATAATCTGACTATTCGTTCCGCTGTTTCTGTGGTGTTTAAGTTGACAGCGGTTATGACGTTCATCACAGTATATCGAGCAAAATGCAGGTTCAAAGATAGTCTTTCACCACTAAAATTCACCCATCAAGCTAATTTCAAATACGTGATGCCACACATTACCAAAGGAATGAAAGTTTTTGGCCAAAAAAATCCTTTTTTTATTAACAATCACCAAGCAATGCATCCGATCCGACTGGACTGCACGTGACTTGCAGTGTATCACAGGTACATACTTTCTTCTATGATGATGGCTCCGAACGCATTCAACCACCATGAGCTATGCTGTTTTAGTCCACGAGCTGCCTTTACAAGAGGATCTCAGAAACCTGATGCCCTGTCCCTGTTGACCCACCGTTTGACCTTTAATTTAGGTAGAGCTGCAATGCAACCAGTGAAGATCCCAGTGATTGCTAGTTTAGCTGTGCGTGGTCAACCAGTGACTCTTTTGGTCAGGTCAGCCTGAATGTTTGGCCAAACAAAGTGCAAACAAAAATCCGCTTGTATAAAACTGAGCTTTTCTAAACAAATTGCAAAAACCGTGTTCTGGAACAGGGTCACAAGCATGGTCTAGGACAGATTTAACGTCAATAAGGCCATCGCAAACCAATTGCATCGTTTGATATTCATGACCTAACAAATGTGTTCTGCCGGCACAGGTGTTGGGTAAGCCGTAGGCGTACATTTAAGCGTAAATTTAAGATATATGTATCATTCTGCTTAGGTGGCCCGAAAACGCACCAGTTATTCCACTTCAGGAACACAAGGTACAGCAAAAAAGCAAGATGAACAAAGTAAATATGCTGGCCTAAAATCTACAGTCCTTTAGTAGTGACTTGTAGCTGAGTGGCCTGACGGAGCCAGACTTACTTTGCTTCACAAACCATGCGTATTTGACATCGCATAAGCATTTCCATGTGTTGCACCTCTACCATTTGTCCTTCTTCCGTGGCATAAGATGTACCGTTTGGGGGCGGTGGCCACATCCTCGTCCGGTAAAGGTTAATCCATTCGGTTTTCAAGGCATCGGTTCTATAGACTAAAAATTACTTACCATGAACTTCAGGCAGCATCAGCATTGCACGAACATCACGAGCATTGATAACGTTGAATGACAACGTGTACCTCAAGATTTTGGAATCACTGCAAACTCGTAATATTCGTCCGGGGTAGAGCGCATGTGTGGCGACTTGAAAGCTAGTTTGAACAACTCTGTTAAGACTACGCACATTTAGAACTCTGATGCCCGCCGGCAAGCTCGCCTTTATACTTAAAGTTGTTACGGGCCGACGAAACCTTTCGGCTTTGCTGCCTGCGTTTAACGCAGCCCTTGGGACACTACCGTCTATCGTGTGAGGGAGCTCAGATGGTTGATTATTTTGACGGTGTTTTGATATCAATACTTGTCACAGCGTCAGAGCACTGTCTACATGTCCCTGTCTCGGTTTTTTAGCCTTGTTCACCCGTGACCATAAACACAGCTTCGAAACGTCGAGTGCTGCCAATGTAACCAACAAAATAACCAGTGCTGACTTGACAACGTGCTTTATCCGGTACCTCCTAGAATGCTAAAATTCGATTACAGTCAGCATATGAATCATCATCCTATAAGTCTGAAAAAGCAGGAGCTCAAAGCCTTACATCGAGTATGACCGGTTTTCCTGGGCAAGACTGTTTTCCCAGGCAGGCGGCTAGCCGGCTAGCCTCCGACCAACAGCCTTGCGGCTAGCCGGCTAGCCTCCGGCCAATAGCCGTGTGGCTAGCCGGTTAGCCTCCGACCAATAGCCGTGCGGCTAGCCGGCTAGCCTCCAATAAATAGCCGTGCGGCTAGCCGGCTAGCCTCCGATCAATAGCCGTGCGGCTAACCGGCTAGCCTCCGACCAAAAGCCGTGCGGCTAGCCGGCTAGCCCCTGACCAATAGCCGTGCGGCTGGCCGGCTAGCCACCGATCAATAGCCGTGCGGCTAGCCGGCTGGCCTCCGATCAATAGCCGTGCGGCTGGCCGGCTAGCCTCCGATCAATAGCCGTGCGGCTAGCCGGCTAGCCTCCGATCAACAGCTGTGTTGCAAACGGCTCCGTTACGGGCACCTCACTGCCTGGCTCTTGACCGTCCTCCGCGGCAAGCAGCAGGTAGCGATCCGGCTTATCCGGCTGGTTAGCTCGGTTAGCCAACTCAGCGAGCTAGCCGTATGGAGGGAAGGGACTGGTCCCCCTTGAGTCATGTCCCCGCGCGTCGCCTCCACGGGACTCGCTGGATCAAAAACGGGTTTTATTTCAGTGACGAGAGGTCTGCAGCAGATACTGCACTTTCCAAACCTCGGTTTGAACGGGTTCCAGACGACGCCCTGCTGCACTGTGAGTCCGCTGCTCCTCCGCGGCCTCCACTGGCTGTGTGGGGAGTAACCTTCACGTATGGCCAACGGCGTCATGTGGAACATCATGGTGGCTCTCAGTAAGTCTAGCGTCCACCTGTTTCTCGCTGCGAATGGCTCCGTTACGGGTACCTCCCCGCCGAGTGGCTCATGCGGTTGGCTCCGTGTCGAGAAATTAAACCAGTGCACTGCTTGGGGGCCCGACGCCGGTTGGTTTGGAGCCTCGCGAAAGCGCGGGCTGAAATCGAAGCCATTACGCTCCAAATGAGAGTTGCCAAGGAGGTGGCTCCTGTGTGGTGTGCAGCACATCATCGTCGCTACCCACTTCCGGGTCACTAGCAGCATGCCTGAAGCCCCCAATGGCCAGAATATTGAATGTTGTTGGATTTACAAAATGACTACATGATTTCAGCGCATGCTATGCAGAACGAGCCGCGTGCGGGCGAGGCACCCAATGAATCCAGTCAAGCATAGCAGTGCGCACGGGGCGCACATGGCCCGCTGTGAATGTGGGTGTTGAGGCCGGGAGGACGGCCCGCTGTAGATGTGAGTGTTGAGGCCGGGCGGACGGCCCGGTGTAGATGTGAGCGTTGAGGCTGGGAGGCCGGCCCGCTGTAGATGTGGGTGTTGAGGCCGGGAGGACGTCCCGCTGTAGATGTGAGAGTTGAGGCCGGATGGACGGCCCGCTGTAGATGTGAGTGTTGAGGCTGGGAGGCCGGCCCGTTGTAGATGTGAGTGTTGAGGCCGGGAGGACGGCCCGCTGTAGATGTGAGAGTTGAGGCCGGAAGGACGGCCCGCTGTAGATGTGAGTGTTGAGGCTGGGAGGCCGGCCCGCTGTAGATGTGAGCGTTGCGGCCGGGAGGCGGACCCACCCTGGTTTGAAACGAGCATGGGTGCGAGGAGCTTGACGTCATGTTCCGTGCGGAAGGAAGGCCTGCTGGTTACCCAGGGGTGGGGGAGGGGGTGGGTCTCACTATTTGGCTCCTGTTCTGCTCAACGTTGACCAGCGATCCTAAAAATTCCCCAACTGTTTTTGAAACAACTCCCGAAGCACTAAACGCATAATATTGAATTTGTGGAGCCCGAGTGTTATGAGTTTTAACGTCTCAAGCCCCGGCTATGTTGTATTTTTGCATTTGGTGCATAATATTTAGTCACTGAAGACCCATCCTTGCGCAGACCACGAATATTGAACGCTCTGTCACTGGCCCTATGCTAGGAGTGAGCAGTGGTGTCGGTTAAATCATAGCCTTATGCGAAAGTGGCAGTGGCCGAGTGTGGGTCAACGCGCACGAATTCATACAACGGTCTCGAATGGCTCCAAATCAGCATAACCGCAGCTCACGATTATAGCCAGGACCTTAGTGATCATCTCATATGATACGCGAGGAGCAAATTTGCATAATCTTAGCGAAGTCGGTGAAACCACGCACGCTGGCCTTCATCCAGCAAGAAGTAGACGCAGACTTGAAATCCACAAATACATGCTTTGAGTGCTGAAATGCGATTTGTTTTGCAACGAGCCAGAGCATCAGCTACCAATTGTCCTCGAAAAAGGCGACCAAACGCTGCTTTATAAAGTTAAGTATGGTTCTGATCCTGCATGATGAATTCCTACGCAGACACTCAAGGACTTTCCATACACCAGGAAGTACTGTTTAAGCCAAGGTATCAAGCAACCTTCGGTGTGATATCAGAAGCAATGCTAAGCAATATTTGGATTTGGCTGTTCAGCTTTGATAATGACCGATATTTTTACCCCAAGTGGAAAAATTGTCTCTATCATATCTTATTATATCTAAATATTATTATATCATATATTATTATATCTAAATTGTCTCTATCATAAATTTGATCCGAGATTTTGATCGAATGAATTCCTGCGATCAGGGCTCACGCCTGGCAATACTGCTATTTTGAGCTCTGACCGTGGGCGGCTTTTTAAGGCACTTTAGAACGGCCTGACCCAGTTCCAAATTTTGCCTCAGCAGTTTTTTAAGAAAATTTATATTTTAGATCCGTTAAAGCATTGTTTCTTACGTCAAATTTCAACGCATTTAATGACCTCAAGCTTCCCAGACATATAATCACCA